GTTTTGAAGCCATGAACGTTTGGGTGCTTTCTTTTTCGCCATCTCAAGAACGAGATAAGTATATATTTTAGCCTTTCTGTAAATAGCTGGGTGAGTTTTCTCACTTGCACGTGTAATTAAACGCCGAATTTCCGTGTAAAGTCGGAGCTAATTATTAAGCTGAACAGATTTAAATAGATCTCATTTCGTCGCATTCCACCTTATTCCAATCTTCATGTTGCCATCTTTTCAAAAACAAGAAAGCAATTCCAAAGGTTGTGGTAGCATCAACCTACGATAACGATAGCTGAAAAACTCGCAAGAGTAGCGGCGCAGCTCTCATAAATTTGTAATTCTATTTGTCGTCATAGTGTATAGCTGTTATTGTTTTGGGGCTAGTGCATTGTTTCTGTTGTTTGTTTTGGTGGTTTAAAGGGTATCGAACCATTCATGCCAGGGAGGGGGGGGGGGGGGGGGTTNTAGGGTATGGTTTTTGCACTCTAGCCTTGATATGGGTATGTTTTTAAGAAGAAGCCACTTTTTCATTATTATCGAAAAGAAAATTAGCAAAAGCCCTTCACAAATTATGTTTACGGTAACATTAGTCTGAACTAGGGAACTAATTGTAACGCAGGTCTGAAACAGGGTTTTGGGATCAGGTCCAAAATAGAGTTTCGAATTTATGGTCAGGTCATCAATAGGGTAGGGAATATCGCAGATTTTGGTCATAAATAGGGTAAGGGTTTTGGGAATCGGGCAGCACACCCCCACCCAAGTGTTCTGGGAGTATCCCCCCGGGCATTCCTGTGAGACCTTACGAGAGCTGCTACATGATCCGAAAAACTACAATGCTACTGATAAGTATTAAATGCCTCTTTTAAATTCCAGCAATTTTTTAGTGCTCTCCACGAAATGTGAATTTGTTTTTGCTCCCGGTCGTCTGCACTGTCCAATTAGCCAAACAGGTCCATTCAAGTTCGGCCATATTTTGTGAAAAGATCAAGCCCTGCTGTTTCTTGCAAACCTTTTACAAAATGTATGAAACGTGCTTTATTGTCCGGCAGGATCTGTCTTCTCCGCGAAAGCACGAAAAAAAAAACGCGGCCAACTAAAGATATGAAAACTTTTAATGACAATTTTGATTATTCACGATGCTGTGCTACTGTGAAAGGTTAAAATAAAATGAGATCCGGTCTTCTTCTTAAATTAATTGATTTTCCTCCGACAGCTGGTGACGCGCAGTTTTGCTTTTCAACCAGGGAGGTTTATCATAGGAAAACATTCAATTATAGACACAAATGGTTTCTTCAAACGTTAAAGAAATTGCTCAGAGGCGAAATTGTCTTGACTTTTGCCAATTAAAGTGTAAACTTTCGTTGGACAATGGAAGTCGACATATTGTTCAAAGATTTCTGAAAAGACAGAATTTGATTATAGATCTAAGCAATGATAACGTGGTTGCTATTGTAAAATACCTGTCGTAAATCCTAGTCACACTGTTGATCTTAACCTCTCTAAAAGGAGATAATTATAAGTCAATCAGCACTCAGTCGAAGTGCAGGAAAAAGTCGCACCTGCCAAGTAACAATATATGGAATCTGGATTTGCGCCTGGTTGGCAGGAAAGACAATATATCGTTGCGATTGGCCAGAAGGCTTCGCTAGAGTTGCATGGACTAGTCACAACAGAAAACGCAAAACGAAAGTAAACACCTCTAATTCGCTGTAAAAGCGCTCTATCATATTATATTTCAGGCAAAGAGATTTATACACAACAGAATGACAACAGCAGCAATTTTGTCGTTAGTGTGGTGAACCGAATGCTTACTACCTGTGAGTTATTTCTTTTTTCTACATCTGTCGTTTTTTAGTGTACATTGTTTTAGTATTTTATTATTTTAGTATTTTTCTGCCCTTAGTTAGGCACATTTTGAGAATTCTTGCCCTTTTTTTATCTATTTCCATCTAAAAAGAACTCAATTAGTGTGCATTGCTCCTTTAAGCCGTCATGGAAGTTGTACATTTGGCCACTGTCACCGAAGGCTTCCCGCGCTTGTGTTTGTTGAAGTTCGCGAAACTAATCAAATACCACATGCATTTCCAGAATAAAAGACTATTTGAAATATTTGAGATAAGAGTGAGATATCTTTTGGTACTTCATATCGATGGCTTGTTTCCTCAAATAGGAGTGATTCTTCTTTAGTATGCAGTGATTGCTGTAGGCACTTTTGATATATTGAAAGGTTTTTTTCAACATGTTGATAAGAGAAAGTCACTCTACTGTAACGGTTTAGAGTAATTAGACAAAGGATACGAGTACATATGAGCTTAAAAGTTTCTAGAAGAGGGCATTCCCATGAGTTAGTAACAAGCATATCGTCCTAAAGATAATTAAGAATTGCAATTTGCCAATGTCCACAGTTTTTTCAAGTTTACCTTTACCAATAGTCAGTAAATTATAGGGTCACAAAAACTTGAATACTCATACGTACCCAATGTTTATGATTGGGTCCGCCATTTAGCATTTCACTGTTTCATAATAAAATTATGGACCACCCGGATGGGCATATTTGAACAGGACCTAAGCAGTCAGCAGTAACCGACAGAAATCTGAATTCTTTTCCTAAATTCAACTACATTTAAAAAGTATAAGAGAAGCGAAAACTAGTTCGAAACACAGCGGAATTAATCCGGTCAGCGTTTGTATCACCGCCACATGTAATGAACATTAACGCTAACTGTAATACCAACCATAAATGTAGTGAACATTAACGCTAAATGTAATACCAACCGTAAATGTAATAAAATAAGACGCTAAATGAAATAACCTACCCTCCGTAAATGCAATAAAAATCAACGCTAAAGGTACGTAATAACCAGTCCGCCTTAAATGTAGTACAATTTAACACTAAATGTGATAACGCTGTATTAAGATCACTCGAAAATCACTGAAACTTTTCCAATTTTACCCTAACGAAGTTTCCCAAACTGTTTTCGAAAATTTTGCTAAGGACCGTATAATCCAAAAATTATTTTCCGTAAATGAGAAATCCGAAAAAATACACCATGACGGTAGACAAACTTCGGACTACGAGAAGTATAACTGAGTGACCAACTTTGTGAATTGTACATTTATTTTTAACTTGTCGTCATAACAGTGATTATAAAGGACGTTCCCGCGAAAATTTTCCAGTCGATAGAATTTTTTAAATTTTACTGGAGTCAGATAATGAGTTACTTGTGTCAGAAATGTAAAAAAAATTGGGGGTCACCGACTTCGTTTCAGAGATAAAGCGTGTGGAAAGGTACCCTGATTTTAAAAACTTGGCGTAAATAATTCAGCATGGTCTACAGGGGTTTATAGTTAAAATATCGAAGGTGAGTTAACGGAGGAAGACGATCTTAGTCATATTTTGTACAAGTGGGTTTGTTGCGTAAATAATTCAAAATCTTGCCAACGTTTTCACCGTAATCACCGCACAGAAAAACGAAGAGCTAAAAAGAACGAAGTTCGATGGTGCATTTTGCAAAAAATTCAATCTTTTAATCAATAGATTTTCATTTTTTCGCTAAACGTAGAAAATCGGTACAGAAAAGGATCCATCAAAAAAAAAAAATTATATAGGTCACCGAACGTCCGAGACCGTCAAATCCAGGTAAAGCTATAGCTATGGCCATCTGCCGTATAGCGCGCGCTCGATGCTTGACGTGGCATGTGAGTTTGCGTGCGCCGTAAGGATATGCATAAACAATTAGCTCGAAGGTTCTTAAGGTGCCTCGGCAGGCTAAAACTTGACGATGTTCAGGAAAAAGGCAATTTTTTGAAAATGTAAAGTTTAAAACCCTTGAACACTTGTAAAAAACATTTTGAAACGATCTTGTTGAATATAACCTCTAGATGAGCATAAAATTCAAGGAAAGTACACATTGGTATGAATTTTTGTGGCTACTGTTGCTAGGCAACACTAGCCACTATGTTATTTTACGTAGCAACGGCCATAGCGACGGCTGTAAACAGTTAGACAATGACCACAAATATAGATCAGTTTCAACAAATATGAACGATAGTTTGTAAAAAAGCTGTTATGACATGCACAACTTGATAATTGTAATTACCTGTGAAAAGCGTCGCCTGAATCACCATCATAGGCTCAATGCATTCATTTCCCTTATAAAGGGGAATATTTCTTGCAACTGCGGTAACTTTTAACAAAATACAACAACCATTACACTCCTCCGATATGCAGCCTGCATGCGCAAAGCTTAATAGAATCTTTAATTCTCAACAACATCTACTAAACATTTTCTGTTAGTTTTTTGATATCGATTTATTCATTTGAACATGATCAACATTAGGAACCTTTTAAAAAGTAATGATTATTCTTAATTATATCAATCTACCACAGTTAACAAATGTTATTCATCAGTCACTTGCTATATATATTGAGAAATGTTGATTTCTTAATTAAAGGTTATAATTAAATTGTCATCGAAATTGTTACTTCAACTCTAACTTTGTTTTCTTCTTAGTCTTCTTCTCTTTATTGCCTCTTACCCTTTTTCCATGCTATGTTTCTTACGTAAAACTAAGCGCGCCTTTTCCAGTGTAAAGCAAACACACCCATGCATTGATCCACTGTGGATCGTTAATTAGATTCTGTAATTTTTATCTGTGGCAATGTTCCGTACACCTGAGTGATGTACAATTTAAACATACTTTAAATGCTTGTGACATGCCACCTGTGAAATTACACCATTGAACCCCCAAATCAATTATTTATATTCCACTGGAGGAAAGAAGAGGTTAAAATATGAAAAATCTTAAGGTGGTATTTATTACAAATGTGTATTTTTTTTTTTTGGTGCTTCTTTAAGTGTCTAATCTTAGATTTCATTAAGTATTTATTACAGACACACATCGTTATTTCGCAGATTGTGTTAAAATATTTCCTTTGAATAGATTCTTAAAGCACTTTAAGCACTAAATTTGAAAGCTTCGTATTATTTTTTCAAAGGGGATACGACTCGATTTTGATGGAAAACAATTCTCAAGATTCGATTTGTCCGTAACTAGCCGAAAAGTGCCCAAATCATGGCGAACAATACCACAAGTTTGAATATCACAACAGTTGGACGGCGTGCCTCTCCATGTGCCTTTCGTATCTTTACCAATACTGAAAACTGGATTCAAGTGTCCTCCTTCTTCTTTATTATCTTCTTCTCAATCATTGGCAATACCATCGTGATTACGATAATAAAGAAAAATAAACGCATGCACATTCCAACCAATTTCTTCATCGTCAACTTGTGCGTTGTCAACTTGGTGATCGTGTTACTCAACACAATACCGGACATTCAGGGCAGAATAGCACCAACCCTTGGATTTGCTGTCAGTGGTAAGTGTACATTGTGTTGTTTATTGCTTTAAATTCGCCAGTATCCCATAAACACCCAAGAGGACAACGTAATGATCTTGGCTAGGGCTGAACCCGGACTGGCCAGGGCTGAACCTTAGTCCAACGCCATTAGGCCACTGCTTATTCTAAAACCCTTGCCATCAGAAGCCTCACACTATTTACAATAACTCTTGATTGGATGTCTATATAACTTGCTTTTATTCCTTTCAGAAATGCTTGAAAACCCATTGAATTATTACCGTACAATTAAGTCCACTGCTTGGCACCTATGTCCAGGATAGAACGCAAGTATTGTTTAATCAGTACTTCATATTTGGCAGGGTTATTTAAAATTTTCATATTACTTCATATTTGACAGAATCGCGTGTGTTTTGGTGACGTTTTACCAATGAGGACACTTTGTGATGCTTGTCATAAGGAATTTGAATCTCATTAGCGTTCAATCCTGGACATATCTGCTGCCTGGAACACAGGAAAATAAACAGATTCCATTCATCGTGTCCCACGTCAAAATTTGATCCAATACCTTCAGTACAATTGGTATCTAAAACCTTCAATAAGTTTAATAGCCCACGGCAATGCCCGAATCGAAAGGAGTAGGATACGGGGATCCCTCTACCGTGGTCCGTTCTGATGTATGCATCAGATTCTGTGGCTACCACAGGTCGGGTGGAGAAGTTGAGAACATGAGATGAACCGATAGCGGCACTCGGAGGCTTCCTTAGCAGCTGACGTGTCATTTCACTCTCACTCAAAGATATTTGAGAAGTGTTAAGACATTTAAGACATCATCATCCAGTGAATAGGATAACAACAAGAATTTGTTTCATTCATTGCTGTGCTTGCTTTTCATTACAGGTTGGCCGGGTACGATTCTGTGCAAGTTGCAGGCATTCTTCTCATCATGTACCATCAATGCCGCAATTCTTACACTTGCATTCATTGCAGCCGATCGATTCATTGCCATATATTTTCCCCTGAAAAGAGTGATCAATTCTCGCAAGGCAATCGGGCTCATCGTCGCGGCATGGTTGGTTCCTGCATTGCCAGCTTCCATCTTTCTGTACGTAAATAAGCTAGTTCAATTCCGCGGCATTACCTATTGTGTTGAAATGTGGCTACCAGCTATTCCCATGTATATTAACACCATCTACACGACGGCCGACTTCGTCGTCTTCTACGCCTTACCACTGCTAGAAATCATCCTTTTTTACGTTGCCATCATCTACAAAGTATGGATGCGAAAGATTCCAGGACAGGTAACGACAGCTAACCAGCAACTGGAGCTGAAAGCGAAACAGAACGTGCTTAAGATGCTTGTCCTGGCGGCACTGACGTTCGCATTGTTTTGGCTTCCTACGAAAGTTAACATCATGATTTCAATTTACAGCAGCGCGCGATGTTTGCAAAATCCAACATCTCATTTCTTGTCACTTTTCTTCGCTTCCATTAATTGTGCCGTGAATCCGCTCATCTACTTAACATTCAGTCGGGATTTTCGAAAAAGCTTCAAAGCTATTTTTCACTGCCTGCCTTGTTTTACTGGAGACGAGCCTCCTCGCGCAAACAGCAGCCGGTCCATGGAAGTAACCGAGATGTCCCATTCTGGAAGGCATAGTGGTCTTAGTCTAAGGAGTTTCAAAAGGATAGAGACTAGCTAAAGTTTAGCAACAGCGCAGGTAAAAAAACGTTATTAAAATTCATTACACATTCCTTGGGTCTGGTTTGACAGATAGATAGAAACTTTAATATCGTGTTAATACCTTGTAGTCCTATAATCCCATACTAATTCGGGGAAACGAAATAAATAGTGGAAAAAACAGAAAAAACTCAAACAAATCACAGCAAAACTATTTAAAATGTCTGATAACAGTAATAATCTAAAACTAATTACGTTCATCTAATAAACAATAATATAATAGCTGATCTGATAATATGATGATTCAGTAATATTCGCTAAAACTGGGAGTTCTCATTGAGAAGTGAGTGTTGCCGTTGGTAGCCTGTTTGTATGTAAACATGACAATAGGAACTTCACCGAAAATATAACTAATTTTATTTCCAAACAACATGGTTACATATACTTTGAATGTAGTTGTTTAAACAGTACTCAACATCGTTCTGCGAGGTTGCCACCTTCGGCAACTCGTTTATTGAAAGACCATTGGTATCGGGTACCATTTTATTAGTTGGTGCATGTAAATACATGCGATCTCCATGACATAAGATGTCATCGATGTTTGTTTGTGTCCAGGAATCGACCGAATCCGATCGCTGCAAGTGACATAAATACACACTGTCGGTCTCTAGAACGCTCACTGAAAACGTAATGACCTTGATGAATGCTTCCGCGAATAGAAGTAATCATAACAGATCGGCAAAAGCGATCAAAGAAAGGAAAAAATGCCATGACTCATCTGTGAACAGGGTAAACCTCGACTCTTCCGCTGCGAGCGGCACACGCGATTTTCGCTGAGCGAGCACATATGAATTTCATCTGTTATGACACAGCTGCTTATTGGCTAGAGGGGGCCATATAAGAAGATTCCTGATAGGCTGTTTTTTTTTTTTTAATTGGAACGATGGGTCGATGGAACCAAAATTCTCAATTACTTCAAGAATATGAAGGCTGCCTATCGGCAGCAATAAAGCCGGTTGACGCTAACCCAGGATTAAAGTTAACCGATATATTTATTTCTCTTATATAAAAATGTTTTTTACTGCTTAAATTTTGTGCAGTTTATATTACTAAAACTAAAAACTGAAGGGCAAACAATATAAACAGAAAACCTAGCCAAAAAGTTACAAAACTGAAATCAAAATTCTCGCTAACCCTGGGTTAGTTTAATCAGGCTTTGAGCAACCCTGTCCTGGAGAACATCTTGATCGTCATCAGAGTCGTTATGTCTATCTATTAAAAAACGGACTTCAAATTTACGCACCGTTTCACGAACGTATCCACATTGAGGACTAAGTACGCCATAATTAGTAGGAAATACGTACAATTTACGTTTAATCCACGAGCAACGATGGTCTTCGTTCAAAGTTTACGGGAAAAATTACACTGTCACTTTATTTAAACAATATAGAGTGTTTCTGTCGAGGAACTATCGGCTGATAGTTGCCCCTAGGAAATTCGATACCCTTAAGAAAATGTTTGTCCGATAAGCGAAGCCTCAGGGGCAAATATTTCAGTTTTAAGAACTTCAAATTTCCAAGGGGTTACTATCATACCAACAGATAAATAAGTAAGTAAATTTGAATAAATACATTAATTTTACACGGACAAGTACAAAGTACTATCCATCCGGGTAGTTTCCTCGGACGGCCACTATATAGACAATAGCCTCCGTTTGGCGCGAAAATATGTTCAGAGATTTGTCCGCGGACCCTACCTGTTCCGAGAAGTGAACAGTTTTCCGAGAGCGTATATTAGTTCAAGGAAAACTGCGGGCTTCGGGGAACTGATAATGTCCAAGGACAAAATATCCAAGCATATTTTCACGCTAAATGGAGGCTATCGAGTGATATTCCCTAGTTTTCAAAACTGCGTGTGTTGCCAAATAGATTTGAAGGATAATGAACACGATACCCTCCATTTAGCGTTTGTTTGTTTGTTTGGTTGGTTGGTTGGTTTTTCTGTTTTTTTTTTTGGTTGTTTGTTTTCCATTTTTGGCCTTGTTTGCGTCAGTATTAATTTTTTTTTCTTATTTTAGAGGTATCAAAATTTGATTTTTACAAAAGTGGGTGTTGAATTCCCATTCAGCAATAATAACGTGTGCCCGTTTTAAAAGGCGATTCGTGCAAAGGATGCCAGTGGAGTCTATCTTTTTGTCGAGGGCCGAGGGTCGAGGGTCGGTCAATCAAAATTCAAAGTTTTGACAATCAAACTTGAAAGTTTACCCGCCCACTTGGGAACGTTTTGGTGCCACTCTGCAAACACTTGAAGAGGAGCAAAGTCAGCAACGGGTACGGGCATTTTGACTTTTGCAGTTTTGAAAATCAGAATGAATTATGGGAAATCAATAGAGGAATTTCTGTCGGATATCGACTGTGATCTTTAACAATATCCAGGGGAATTAAGGAAGAAAGGGCTCACCTCAACAATGTCCGCGCGGTATCTAGCTGAAGATGATCTTCATTTTCTCCCTGAAGGCCACAAAAACCAGGTAACAAAAGACTAGTCTTGAACATGATTGCTCGACTAACAACGCCTGAGAGAGTAAAAAGCAGCTTGAAGCGTCAAATAGCGTCAACACAACAGTTACAAAGCCCTGAATCAAATTTAAAATCTCCTGCACGAAAAAAGGTCTCCACGTTGGGCTGAACTCGACAATGATGGGGACGAGTATCGAGTACTGAAAACGAGCGACGTTTCTCTTCTGACAAGGAGGCGTCAGTTACTTAGCCAATGTGAAAGGTTCATTGAGGAAAAGACAGGGGCACCCAACGGATCGTTACGGTAAATTATCTGTTCGGAAGGCCTTTAATTCCCTCTGATTTTCTGAAGAGAATTGTCGCCTCGAACTTTCGTGATATGAGAAATTTAATATCTGTTGTTTTCGAATTGTAAAAAATGTCGTTTTGGGTGCCAAAAAAAGGTCAGCTATCATTTTTGGAAAGGCGATAAGACCTAAGGTTTTCGAGGAATGGACAAAAACGCCGTAATAAATTCGAGAATACTCAAGTTCCCCTAGAATAACCGAACAGATAAATTTTTTATAGCGCAACCTAAAATTAACCAAAAGAGCTTTAAAAGTACTCCAGATAGCCTAAAACAGCGTTGAAAAGTATTTGAGAGAAAACGGTCGTTGGGTGCCCTGAAAAGAGGCAAGAATTAAAGTACAAACTTAAGGAAGCAAGCGCTAAAAGATAAGACCTTGAAGAAACCTCTACCAAGATAAGGGACGCAGCTTCCGCGCTTGGAAATACCGGTCAACGCTATGTAAGCTTAATTGTCATGAAAGAAATCACACAGTTCGCACCTGCAGAATGGCAAAATGTGAGTCAGTGTTTTTCTGTGGATAGTTGAGTAGGCATCCAGATGAAAAACAGGATTTTTAGGAGAAAAAAAGGGAAATAGCAGCATTAGAAACGGCCGCTGCGAAAATAGAACTGAATTTGAACTGACTTTCTCCCGAGTGAAAGTAGTTCTTTGAATAAACACAGAGAGGAAATTTTGCTTGAAAAGGGTCTCCATGAATACGTTTAATATGTTTTAAATTTCTGTATTTATTTCCTATCATTCATTCTGACTAGGTATAAAATACTAGGTGGAAGATTGTATTCACCAAGTTTGAAGGATGTAGCTTAGCTAGAAGACGCTCANCTAACAGATCTTCTTGTTTAATGATAGTCGGGCGCGAGATGTTTCTTGGTGAAATGAGCGACGACCTCCCAGACCGATCGAAGAAAACAAAAATACTCGCAAAAATGGCTCGCATGACTCGCATGCCTCGCACTGTGGCTCGCATGGCTCGCTGGCTCGCAGATTTAGCAGACCCGAGTGAAAATAGTTCTTTGATAAACACATTTAAAAAGTTTCTGCATGACTACATTTAATATGTTTTAAATTCTTCTATTTATTTCCTATCAATCATTCTGACGAGGTATAAAATACTAGGTGGAAGATTGTATTCACCAAGTTTGAAGGATGTAGCTTAGCTAGAAGACGCTCAGTTAATTTTTCTAATTTTCCATACATTTGTCTGTATTTTTTTTTTCCGCGAACCGCGTCCACCCGGCCAAATTTACAGACAAGTGCATGGAAAATTAGAAAAATAAACGGAGCGTCTTCTAGCCAAGCTACATCCTTTATACGTGGTGAATAAGTTCGCAAATCTCGCAGATATTTTTCACTGCGACCAATTGCAAAGCCCTGCAAGTTTACCGAAGGAGAGTGGTAATTTAGATCGCAAAACGCACAGATATATTTTTTTAACAGCGAATTTACCGAAGGAAGAAAATAGCCGTAAATTTGCTTCCAAAGCTTCCATGGCCCCCAGATTTCACCTACAGTTCCTGTTCACTGATAAATGGCAAAGGAATGTTGCTCATCGCGGCCCGTCAATGACACTAGAAAACAATGAAGCCAAAACTCCAGGAAATCGCATCGGTAGTAATACGACCTAAACGACTACAGCGACATAGAAAAAAAGGTACACAAACGAAGCCACAACATTGTCACTATCAATGCAGATATTAACGCGAACTACATTCTGTTATCCCTATGTGTTATCTTTTTGTTGAAGAAATTACAACTGCAAAACTTAATGTTTAGATTTATTTCTACGCGGATAGCCATTCAAAAGTTGATGGCATTCGTACATCGGCCAAAGCATTCAGCCTGATGAAGTCACATGAAAAACCGGAATTTAAATGTTAAAGAAAGTTATACTGAGATAAATAATCAGGTCTGTGATATATTTACATTTAACCAAATCGGGGAAGAAAATGTAGGTCGGACTCGACTGAGCGGCGGAAATCGAGCCTACAGCAAGGAGTAAAACAACAAACCATAGTTAGTATATTCTAACTATGAACAAACCCAGAAAAAATATTACCCTCGACATAGGACCCTCGACCCTCGACCCTCGTATCGTTGTTATTTCGCTGTTAAAGAGCGTCATCGACGACCAATTTTCAGAAACATTATCGCTGAACTTCACAGCAATGGAATTGTCGTCTGATGTTTTCTGTC